AATTAACGAATAAATCATCTCAAAAAGATGATTTAAATCGAAATAGATCAATCACGTTGCTTTATTTGTTTTATTTTTTTTTAGTCTGGTCGGAGCCATATCGTTCTCGGCGTCTGTAGTGTTTAGAGAAGAAAGAAGACAATGAGGTTGATTGTTGCTCATGTCTATATATATATTCGTCCTCGGTCAGTATCATAGTTATTCGATTATCCTTCAACATGCAACGAACAAAACGAAAAGAGAATGATATGGTTCAAATTTCGAATAGTAATAAAAAACAGAAGTTAGAAAATCAAAGTAATATTTTATGTTAACATTTATTAAATCTAATTTTCTTCGTTTGTTGTTTTAGTAACAAAAATCAATTCAAACAAGTTAGATATATCTATTTTATCATATAAATAATCATAATCTTTTACTTATATTTAGATATTATCTTGAAGACTTAGCTAATGAAATTCTCTATGAAATATTTGAATATCTTGATGGATATGATATTTACAAAGGATTTTACAATCTTAATAATCGATTTCAAAATTTAGCTATTAATTCGAATGTTTTAACTAAAATCAATATTTCAACAATATCAAAATCAAATTTCGAAGATTATTATTATAATATACTTATACCAAATCAAAGTCAAATTAATTTTCTTCGTTTATCAAATCCATTTGTTGCTGAGATTATTTTTTCAGAACCACGTTTGATTTTAAATTTTATTCGTCTTCAAACAATAATTCTTGATTATGTACAAGAAAAAAATTTTAACAAATTCTTTGATTATTTAATATGTTTAACCACTCTTCATGCAATAACTATTTCTTTTGTTGAAGATTTTTCATCATTAGATATTATTTCTCAAATATTTCGTTTATCGACATTAAAATATTGTAAAATTGAATATCGACAATTATTATCTACTGATTTTACTTATTATGATTCTAGTCCAATAGAATGTTTAATAATAAATGGTCGTTTCCCATTTAGCGCATTTCATAATTTATTATGTTGCCTTCCCAAACTTCAACATTTATCAATTAATTGTCTTTGTAAACATGATGGTTATCAAGAAAGAAACAAATTATCTTCTATTCAATTACAATATTTAAAACATGTTTCTCTTAAATTTGATTATGTACGTTTTGATGAATTTGAAAAAATTATTAAAGAATTTTTTTATCATATTCAAATTTTACGTCTTACAATAGCGGGTGATGAAACCTATTTAGATGCTACACGGTGGCAACAATTAATCTTATTTCATATGCCATATTTACGTATATTTGATATTCATCATCAAGCTTTTCTAGTCAATATGAATTCAAGTTATCATGATATAATTAATCAATTTAATTCTTCGTTTTGGAATGAAAAGAAATGGTTTTTTACACATCAACATAATCGGGAATACCGATTGGATAGTGGAATTTTTTATTCAACTGGTCCATATCGGTAAATAGAAATTAATCTATTATACAAAATAAATAGGATAGTTATGTCGAATTTCGTTTGTTCTTTAATAGAAAAACTACTGAAAAAAAAAATTTTCTTCCGATAGCTTTCTATTGAAAACAATTACTCGTTTATTATTATAGACTATTCTTTATTTCATTTATTTAGAAGAAAAGATTATACATATTATAGGGAGATAGATGAAGGACTTGGTTTATGTCATCAAAAAGAAAATTTCAAGTCAGTCAAACATCTTTATATTGCGGGTAAAATAAAACCAAATTGTCGAAATTATTTTTCAAATGTTAATCAATTAACTATTGAATATTATATTGAAACATTAGATGTTGATCCATTTATAACAAATCTTAAGTGTATGATTCCTTTAGAACAACTTACAAAATTAGATATTTACAGTTGGGGTTTTCCATTCGAAGAAATTATTAAATTATTACGTTTAACACCTAATTTATACACATTACAATTTTATGCAACGTCTTTGCAAAAGATTGATTCAAATTTCACTAAATCCAATATACTTTTACAATATGTATCAAAAAAAAATAAAATTGAAAATTTAGTTATTTTTGGTAAATGTTCATTGAATCAAATTCGATTCATTGTTTCTGTATTTTCGAAATTAAAATATCTTACAATTGGAATAAATACAACAAAAATATCATCAATAATTCGATATTTATTATCAAAAACTCATAATCAAATACAACACTTATGTTATTTCTGTATTTTAAATGTTCAAAAAGTATGTTTAGGAGAAACAAAAGATTTAATTAAATTAAAGAATTTACTTGGTAATTACTCTATTGAATACATTAATTATAGTTTACATTTATGGCGGTAAAAATTTAGTTCTTTAGGACTTGTTCTATTTATTTATTTTCTTGTTTTATATGATAATGATAGTTTTGTAATTCATTTAATAAATAAATCAGAGATTGAACTTTCAATAGATATATTTATGATTTATAATTGCAGCAAATCGAAAATAATCATTCATATTAAATGAATGTTTATTAGAAGATTTGATAAAGAATAAATTATAAAATCTCGAGAAATTGAAATTTATGGAAAGTATTGTTTTTAATACCTTTCGAGACCGAATATAAGGAAAAAAATAGGAGTTTTTCCAATTTTGGCGTCAAGTGATATCATTTTGTGGAATTTATGTATATTTTCGGAAAAAGAAACATAGTGAGTGTGCTTTGAAATCAAAGTTTTTTTTGAACTGTTCCAATACGGACCTTAGTAATGATAGATAGACTTAGAAGATTCTGAAGCATTCTAGAATCTTCGTGACCATACAAATGACTCGAATAATTGAAAAAAACTCGGACTCGTATATTTTGCATAGGTAAAAAATTATACAATCTTTATCAAGGATATTTTAACCAATAAATAGGTTGTA